AAAAAAAAAAAAAAAAAAAAAAACTTTCTGCGCTATCCCAGAGGACCCCAAATAATATCAGTTTTATTTTGTAATTTGTACAAATATGGTTCAGAGCCTGAAGTAGGAAAGTGCATATGTCCAAAACATGGTTGTGGCTCATTTCCTTTTAGGAAACCTCAGCCTTGAGTTTGAAGTCTTTTGGTGTATTTAGCAGTATCCACAAACGAATTAATTGTTTGTTTTTTTTTTTTTTACCCGGACTTTATTAAATGACTATTTAGAAAGAACCGAGTGTTCTCCTTTGGAAGGTTGGACAATGATTGTGCCTTGCGTAAATAAGGCAAGGGGTGTGAGTACAAAGAGTGGTTGAAGTTGACCTCGTGTAGTGTCTGGTCTGTCGATGTTGAATCTCTATATGATTGCAAATATGTTTGAGTGCAGAGAGTGGTTGAAGTTGACCTCGTGTAGTGTCTGGTCTATCGATGTTGAATCTCTATATGATTGCAAGTATGTTTGTGATACAGAGTCGGAATTTGACTTTGTTTGCGATCATTCGTTTATGTAGAAGGAATTTACACTGTGATTGTGAGAGTGATCGCCTCGTGTGTAATAATCCCGATATATTTATACTTAATGTATTTGGGTGGTTTAATTAACCATGTGCAAGGGTTGAGCGAACCTGGAATAAGAAAAAAAAAAGATCCCCTTCATTTGTTTTTTAGGTTTCATAGTTGGACGTTGAGGTTCGTGACGACTGTCAAAGTCAAAACCATATACATGTTCCACAACGTCCAAAGATGGGGCGTTTTTCCAAGAGTCAAAGGCGTTTCGTAGTCACAATGAGACGAAGCACGCATATCACTCCTCTCCACAATTGTGGCGGACCCACCAAGTGAGGTGCTCCGCCTGGGATACAAATGGAGATGGAGGATGAGAGAGGAGCGAGATGGCACAACGCAACTCCCATGCAAGACTCCAACGCACGTACTCCAAAACTGTGCGAATGCAGAATGATCTCACAAACAGACAACAACTGGGGTATACCCCAGCGGACTAACTAGACCGGATTGGACTGGCTAGTACCGACAGAGGTACCGACCTGAACTGGACTACCCCGAATACAATACAGGTCTGTGAGAATAGGCCAAGGGGCTGGTCTCACTGACCAATTAGAGGTCCGCTACATGATCCTCGATCTGTGATGGATCGCCTAGATACAAGCACGCTTCCGCCAAGAAGCGGAACTCTACCAAAGAAAAGAAAACCTAAGTAGTCTAGGATGCGGAGCAAGCTCCATGCTGAGTCCATACGATGCAACCTAGGATAAAAAATGTTAGTAAAAAAAACAGCAATGTCACAGCTATCAGCCTATGTGAAAGCAAAAGCAACTAACTAGCATACATGTCATAGGAAAGCAGAAAGTAATGGCAGCTAGATCCTATAATGTTAGAGATAGTAGCCTCAGTCTGAGACCAACAAAGCAACAACAAGACAACCATATGTCACAGGAGGAATGTGTCGCAAACCAAAGGGTGGGATGGTCTCTGAGGATGGCGAATGCAGCCTAGGGGTCGATAAACTCCTAAGGGCATCCACACATAAATAATAGGGAGACACATGTCATCAGGCTCAATGAGGGTAGGAAACTGGGAGCGAACAGAACCAATGACCCAAACAGATAGACCATCAGGGCGGGTAATGATCGACTAAAGGGGTGACCGCTATAGAGGGTCGACCATGCAAGAGAACAAGGGAGCCTGGGATACTGGGCGCACCTAGATGAAGCATGCAAGGCTACCTAACTAGGGCGTGAGCCGGCAGAGGGTAGAAAAATGATGGGTAAGGGAATCATGCAAATGACTCCTAAGGTGAGGGAAGTCGGAGCTAGATTCGTAAACTGGGAAGCTAGGGCAACGCTACGGTCCCGATGCCAATTCGTATATCAAGGGAGAGTCCAACTTAGAGGAACCTGGCGAAGGGAGACCATCATGCGACACAACCAGGGTATTGTACAGGGTAAGGTGGTAAGAGAGTGACGACGTATGAAGTAGGCAGACCTGATCGTGACGAAGTCCATGAAGCTGCCGTTGACATCCATGATGAGAAGTCTGGAATGTCGTCGAGGAAGAACCGCAACGTCGACGAGCTGAAGTGGCAAAACTAGAGTGGATGAAGTACTGAGAAGTCAAAGACGTGGAAAGATAAGTCAGAGTCAATTGTCGTATCGAGCAGGACGACGACGAGTGTGATGTGAACGCTCATAAGCATCTGACTGCTGCTGAAGGTCTGCCTCAGATGGAGCAGGCTCGACTTCAGTGGTCTCCTCAGCCGAGGGAGAAGGAGGAGGGTCAATGGGTTGAGGAGGAGCAGTCAACCCAGCACGACGAGCACGGTCATAGGCACGCACCAACATGCGAGCGTGCTGCAAGTGCTCGAGGGGCTTCCAAGTAGCCTCCTCATCAGGGTAACCCTTCCAACGTACCAGATACTCGACGTGAGGAGGGTTGTCGTCGGTGACTCGGCGACTAATGATGTCTGAAACGAGGAACTCCTCGTGGTCGTCCACCATCATGGGTGGAAGGGGCTCGTATGGTCGTCCGGCGAAACGCTCAGACGGTCTGCGGTAGGGAACGAGACGTGGTAGACATCGTGCACATGAGCCTGGCGTAGGTAGTCGGACAGCTTCACACGGAAGTTGACCGGGCTAGAAGCCGTATCAGAACCGATGACCTGGAGAATGTGGCATGGGCCAAAGAAGCGACGCCGAAACTTGCGAAGAGTGTCCGCTTCGAGATGTAAGTGGCAGGCGTTGATAAGCACATCATCACCGACTTTGAATGGATGATCCATCCTCGATCGGTTCGCACTTGCTGCCATGCGAGTCTGAGAAGCGGCTGTGTGCTCATGTGCGGTCTTCATGATCGACGTCATGTGTGCAACCCAATCATCCAGCGCGGAACAACTCGTGTTGGGGTGTATCTGTGACGGTCGACGGAAGTCCAGCGGAACACGAGGGTGATAGCTGAGGTCGCAATAGTAAGGCGACATCCCCGTGGCTGGCGAGACGACGTGGTTGTAGGCTATCTCCGCCTGGGCAAGACGAAGATCTCACTACTGGTCGTCACGAACGATCTTTCGGATAATATCTCTGAGAGTCCTGTTCGTGACCTCGGTCTGACCATCAGTCTGAGGATGGTAAGATGAGGAGAAGCGGAGCTGGGTGCCGTATACCTCGTGGAGTCGTCGTCAGAATCTGCTGGTAAAGCGCGGGTCACGGTCAGATATGATGCTCAAAGGCAAGTTGTGGTCACGCACGACTCGGTCAAACACAATGTCGGCGACCTTACGTGTACTGATAGCATAGCGGCACGCAACAAAGCGTGCACGCTTCGTGAAGCTGTGGACGACAACCAGGATGGCATCATGACCGCGGGGGGTCGAAGGACGAAGAGGACCGATAAAGCCCATCGAGATGGACTGCCAACGACCCTAAGAAATAGGAAGAGGCTGGACAAAACCATAAGGCAGGTGGTTCGCAATGTTCACCTCCTTACAGGCGGGACACTCTGCGACGTAGTCCTTCACAAAGTTTKTGCGCTTCGGCCAGACGTACAGGCGGCTCACACGAACCAACGTCTTGTGGAAGCCCATATGACCGGCGGTTGCCTGGTCATGGAACTCTGCTACTGCCCGGACACGTAGTTGTCCAGTGGAGAGAATACAAGTATGGGACTCTCTGTTGCCCTGTGAACCGTGCCAGTACATAAGACCGTTGTCCCCGAGAGAGTAGTTCGGGACGGTGTTGCCACTCCGAAGGGTCGCATGGATGTCGCGATAGTCGGGGCAGTGGTTGTACTGAGTGCGAAACTCGTCGATCACCGGGTA